GGCTAGGCGTCATGCAGAAGTAGATGGTAGGTCTCGGTGTCCATGTCGTTGTTGCAAAAATAGGACTTATCGTCAAATTGAAGAAGTTAAGCAGCATCTCTTAAGTAATGGGATGGACAAGGGGTATACCAATTGGACATATCACAGGGAGGCTCATTAAAGCAACAATAATGTTAATATTGATGCTAATGTCAATAGGGAAAATGTCCATGATGAAGATGGAAATGTGGATAATGTGTTTGAATTGTTGGATAACATACAAATGGGAAACTTCACTAATGCACAACAACAAGAAGATTCGCCTGAAGTTGATGTTGGAGGAGGAAGCTTTGATAGATTGTTAAATGATGCACAATGTGAATTATGGCCAGGTTGTGAAAAATACTCTAAGTTGTCACCGATATTAAAGTTGTTCCATATGAAGGTTACAAGCCGAATGAGCAGCAAATCATTTGACATGATGCTTGATGCATTTAAGGATATGCTTCCCAACAATAATGTGTTACCAAAGTCTCATTACGAGACTAAAAGCTTGTTACGAGTCTTGGGTCTCGGATATGATTGTATACATGCATGTAAACATGATTGTGTTCTATTTTGGAGGGAAAATGCAAGTAAAGAAAATTGTCCACAATGTGGTGAATCGAGGTATAAACCTCATGAAGGTAAGGGTAAGAAAATCCCTCAAAAGGTTCTTCGGCACTTCCCTTTGAAATCAAGACTTCAACGGTTGTTTATGTCAAAGGATACAGCCTTAGACATGCGGTGGCACAAGGAGAAATGTGTGAAGGAGACAAATGAGTTAAGACATCCAGCTGATTCAAAAGCTTGGGAGGATTTTGATAGTAAGCATAGTTGGTTTACTGCTGATCCTCGTAATGTTCGTGTTGGATTAGCAACTGATGGATTCAATCCATTTGGTAACATGAACAATGCGTATAGTATGTGGCCTATGATGATTGTGCCTTACAATTTGCCACCTTGGATATATATGAAGGAGCCATATATATTTATGTCATTGCTTATTCCTAGTCCAACATCGCCTGGTAATGATATTGATGTGCACATGCAACCTTTGGTTGAAGAGTAAAAAGAATTGTGGCGGGATAGTGTGATGACGTATGACGCATACAGTAAATGTAACTTTAAAATGCATGCGGCAATGATTTGGACCATTAGTGATTTTCCCGCCTATGCGATGGTATTTGGATGGATGACAAAGGGTTATCAAGCATGTCCGAATTGTAACAAAGAAATATGTTCTTATTTTTTGAAACACGGACGTAAGATATGCTACTTGGGAAGTCGTATGTTTTTATCATTAGATCACATTTTCAGAAAACATCACAAGCAATTTAATGGCCAAAGTGAAGACAAAGGGCCACCAAAGCAGTTGATGGGTGATGATATTCTGGAACAACTTAACCTCATACCCGAGGTTAGTTTCGAAAAGGGGCCAAATAAAAAGAAGCGAACTCGTGAGGAATTTGAACTTAACTGGACGAAGAAGAGTATTTTCTCTGAACTACCTTATTGGCTAACCCTTTTGTTTCGGCACAACCTGGATGTTATACATATAGAGAAAAATATATGCGATAGTGTGTTGGGGACATTATTGGACATTGAAGGGAAAACTAAGGACACATTCAAAAGTCGGTTGGATTTAGAAGCAATGGGGATTAGAAAAGAACTCCACCTGAGGCATAATGGTGAAAATTTGAGATGCCACAAGCGCGCTACACATTGTCAAAGAATAATAAAAGACAACTATGTGAATGGCTAAAATCGGTTAAGTTTCCAGATGGCTATGCATCGAACATAAGTCGGTGTGTGAATGTTAATAATTGTAAGATATCTGGATTGAAAAGTCATGATTCACACGTTCTCTTACAACGTCTCCTCCTTATTGCTATACGAGGATTCTTAAATTCAAATATTTGTAACACAATAGCTGAGCTTGGTTTATTCTTCAAGGAATTGTGTTGTCGAACTGTTAAAGTGGATGTCTTAGAGGCAATGGAAAGGGACATTGCTGTTATACTAAGTAAGTTAGAGATGATATTTCCTTAGTCATTTTTTGACATTATGGTGCACTTGGCTCTGCATTTGCTGCGTGAAGCCATTATCTCAGGCCCTGCACAATATCGATGGATGTACCCGATTGAAAGGTGTTGTATATTTTTAGTAAACCAACATTTTTTTTTTTAAACAAGTTTTATCAGTTTGTTATTTAATATTATTGGTTTGATTAACGGTTATGTAGATTTTTGCATACTCTCAAATTGTACGTCCGTAACAAAGCACGTCCGGAAGGGTCCATTGCTGAAGCTTACATGGATGATGAATGCTTCACATTTTGTTCAAAATTTCTTGGAGGGATTGAGACAAGGTTGAATAGAGAAGAAAGAAATAGTGAGGGGAACTACAACAATAATTGGTCCACTTTTTATGATCTAAAGCAAGTGGTTCGACCGATAAGAGCACAAAGTTTGGACATATTGCCCCATGCGGACATAGAGATGGCCCAATTGTACGTGTTACAGAATTGTGAAGATGTTTTGTCATATGAAGAGTAAGTAGCTCATTGCATGTCATATCTTGTCAGTTTCTATGAATATATAGTCTATTTCTTAATACATGTACACAATTGTATTTTTAACATAATATAATTGTTTAGAAAACACAAGGTAGAACTTGAGAGAGAAAATCCGCGCAATGTTCCTCAAAGACATGCTAAAGAATATTCGAGGTGGTTCGAAACAAAAGTAAGTCCATTATGCACCTATTGTACTTAATTAAATAAAATTCTTTAATTTAATTAAAATGAATTGTCATTCATTAATTATGCTTACACTTTTTTTTAATAGATAAAGGAAATGCGTCATCATCCAAAGGAAACAACTTGTGATGATCTGTATTCATTAACGTGTGGACCTCAATGTCTAGTAAGTCGATATTCTGCGTGTATTGTAAATGGGATTAGGTTCCATACTAAGGAAAGGGAGCAAAATCGACAAACACAGAATAGTGGTGTGTTAGTGAAAGGAGAAGACCAAGATTACTATGGTGTCCTAACAGATATCATTAAGTTAAGATATCCTCTAGGTAGAAAATTTTTTCTTTTCAAATGTGATTGGTTTAATGTTAGGATTGGTACCGGTGTACATAAAGATATCTATTTCACAAATGTAAATGTAACCAGTAGAGCGTACAAAAATCAGTCGTTTATGTTAGCAAATCAAGCATCACAATGCTTCTATGTCAAAGATAACAAATTACAAGGGATGTGGGAGGTAGTTTAAGATATAACAAGTAGAAGCTCATTTGATGTACCTGAAAAAGAGGGTGAAACAGGAGTACATGATGAAATGCTCAACACTGCAGCATACCAAGAGAACGAACCAAGCATCGTGGATGGAGTTGTAGAAGCAGACTTGGACATGGATCCACTCCCTTTGAACAGGGACGATTTAGAGGGTGAAACTGTTGATGCTGAAATGATTAAAAAATGTAGGGTTGAAGCAGCCATTAATGACGACTTTTGGGATGTTGAGAATGATGATGGAAATGACATTCAATATAGTTCAGATGAGGAACCAGAATTAATGTCTGAAGATGATACTGATTTAGATGACATGTGAAGCTTTGTAGTCTTGAACATGTATCTCATTTTATGGTTTATGAATTATATTACCGAGCTTTATCTTTTGAGTTACTTTTTGTTTAAATTTCTCTTTAAGTATTGGTTTTGTGCTTCATTAATTTGCATCTTTGATTTGGTTGACCAAATTAATTGTTGTATTTGAGCATTTACTTGTTTTTTTGGTTTTATGATTAATATTTATTGTGAACTATTCACTTATATTACTAGTCTTTATTTATTGACTTCCTTCAGATTTATTAGCCTCTAATTATTGAATTTTTTATTCAATGCAATTATGTAAATATGAAATGATGACTCTAAATATATTCTGTATATGTTTGTTTATTTTGATTTAATTTCACTTGATTCATCATATCAGCTTGTAAACTAAATTATGGACACCTCCGAGGAACCAATGCGTAGAGTTTTAAGGTCCCGCAGGGTTGAAACTAAGCGACCATCTACAAGTTCACCTCCTACATAACTGAGTGGATCAGGTGATGATAGGAATTCAACAAATGAAAGAATGGAAGGTGATGGTAGTAATGAGCAGATGGGGCCACAACCAAAAGGAGGTAATTATAGTTCATCATTGATTAACCGTAAGCTCTTTTGTAAAATGCCTACATTTTAATTAAGATGATGAATTTGTTTTTCAGGTCCGATACGAAAAGGGTGTGGAAGAGAAAAAAATGAAGCCTTGCACAAAATTAAGGAAAACAACTGTTTGGTTCCAGTAAAGTTTGGAGAGGGTTATCTTACACCTGTTGGTTTAAATAACAAATTATGGACAGCTGAGGTTGGCATTAATACATGAGATACTGAAGCCCTTCTAAAGTATAAAACGTGGAGGGATGTTCCAGATTTTGAGAAAGAGGTCTGCTATGACCATTTGAAGGTAATTATAACCATCATTTAATGTTTGTTTTGTTCAAAATAAATTAGAGGTTGCTGGTCTAATTGGTTACAAATTGTAGCTTACCTTAATTTTACATTATAAAGGAGGTCTTTGGAGTGGATGCATATGCGAATGACACTGATTTTAAGCGAGTAAATAAAGGGATTTCCAGCGCGTTGAGGAAATATAGATATAAATTGAAGTGTCATTTTGAAGAGCATCTTCCAATTGAGAATGCACGTCGCCATCCTTACAATGGTATTGGTAATGCTGTTTGGGAAAAATTGTGTGATACGTGGATGTCACCAAAATTTGAGGTTCAATTTCTTAACTACTTGTTTTTTACTATTTAATATAATAATTTCATTCACTAGCTATTTAGGTTTCCTAACTTGTAATATTATTTGAATTACTACTTAGGAAATAAGTGGGAAAAACAAAGAAAATCGTTCTAAGAATGAGGTTCCACATTATTCTGGATCAATGTCCTTCGTCAGACGTTACGATGCTTATGTGCGTAATATATGAAACAATAATTATAAATTTTTTATTTTATATTCTATATTTTAAACAATATATTTGTCTAATAGTCACTATTACTTTATACTGCAGGTCAAACTCAAAGAAAGGCAGAGCCAAGAAGATGAGGACGGTGAAAAGGATGAGGATCCTGCTATTCGTTTGTATAAGGACACACATTTTAAGGAACAAGGTAGATGGGCACACGAGAAAGCTAAGAGGAATTTTGTAAGTTAACTATAAGCTAGCATGTTGGATTATGAAATTTGGATCTCATAATATTTTTGTGGTTTATAGGGGGTCACATGCCTTTAAGTGACCATTCTGGATTTTTTGTGCACAAATGGAGGTAGGGAATTGTTGCAGATGAAGTGTGGTTTTCTTGTTTTTTACTATTTAATATATATATCTTCCACCTTTCCTAGAAAAATCACTGAACTCAGAAACAATCAAGTGGAACTTGAAAATTTATATGCGAATACAATCACGCTGTCTTGAACTAATAAAGCAAGAACCTATTTAATACTGAACATGTCCTTGACCACAGTGTCATACCCTTCTCAGTGAAACAGAAAATAATCATATTCATTGTTTCGAAAGAAAAAAACATTGAACTTAGACTTGTGTTAGCCAATGGCATTGTCTGTGCAACTTACCAGCCAGCGACAGTGGGTCAATGAGATAACTCAAAAGGATTCAAGGTCCTAATCTAATCTTCAACTATTTAAAGGGTTAGATTGCATATTGCTCCTTTAAGATCAGCTTGATGACTAGGTTTCTGAAGACTTTATCACCACTAACTTGTTTTATAATATGTGATGCAGAATTGTTTAAATTTCCACCATATTAAATTCATTTTCTTAACCTTTTCTCTGGTTTTTAGTACAAATTCTTTAGACATGAACTTGTAAAACATATTGGTCACATGACACACTAGGTTGCTTTGTTTTGAACAACTTGAATATTAAAATTGGAATGGTAAATAACCATGGTGTCCCTTTTTACATATTAGGCTGTTCTTAGAAAGCATTTGATGTGAAACCACATTTTCAAAATTATCTTTACAAGACACTGAGTCATTATGATTACCATGATGTGCACAACTTTAATATAGATATGTTGATCATTTGCTGTAAAGTATTTGAATAGCCTGGTCTCATGATCTAGTCATTGTCCATCTTCTTTAAGATTCTTAATTATGGCATATACTAATATGGCCTACCACCAATCTATTGACTTGGAAATAGGCAAACTATGAGATGATGATACAGTCTACGTATAGTAAAAATGGCAAAAATATTGGATGATTTAGAATGGTTTTTACCACCGGGAAAATAAAAAATAAAGGGAAAGTAACAAATTTAAAAGAAGAGTGCTAAACTTATTTAAAATGTTCTTTTGGAATACTCATTTAATCAGAAGTTACATATCTATCAACTAATCTTAATCTAACTAGTTTGTTCACCTTAACTGTTATCCTGTAATTTAATAACATGAAAAGGCTGTCTGGAAAATAAGAATTGTTATCCTGTAATTTAATTTGGGAAAGATTACTCAAGAATTGTTGCGGATGAAGAGATTCCAAATGGGTTTTATTGAATTTTTTGGATTTGGAATCTGGGTTTGTCTGGAAAACAAGATTTGTTGAGGTCTTTCTCTTTCTCTCTCTATAAATGTATATACAAATGTATTTATATATATGTTCATACAAACATGCACACATATAAATTTATATCATGTTTTCTATTGATTTCCTTGATATGTTTGTTTCTTTCTTTTACTTGATTCAAAATGGTGGTGCATATTCCTAATCAGATATATATGAATTTTCCTTTAGATGATTATGATTTTGAATTGAGTTTGTAGTTGATTTGAGTAGTGCATAGAATCATGGGAATATATCTTTAAAATAATTAGGTAGATTGTAGTGGATGGAAAATTAGAACTAATGTTTTTTGCTTTGTTTCTTGGGAGAAAAAAAAATACACTTTGGCTTATTTTCTAGGGATATTGATGCTTTTCTTTTATCTTCTATCTGGCATTTCCCAATAACCAAACAGAGTGTTATTAGTTTGCTAATACTTTTTCTTCTTACTGGTTGAATGTGATTAGCATTGTCTGGAAATGGTTTTTTTTTTTTTTTTTTTTTTTTTTTTTTTTTTTTTTTTTTTTTTTTTCATACAATAAATTGGTGTCTGAACAGCTTCCAGAAACAAAGCAGAATGTTATGCTTTTTTTTTTTTTTTATTGTGTAAAAGTTGTTACAAGAGAGAGAAAAAATTATATGCATTTGTTAGTTCAAGCTAGGAATCAGTTTGTAATCCTAAAATAATTAAATTCAAATAGAAGTGATCTTTTTCTTAAAATGAACATAGCTATATACTCGTAGAGATGGATAAACAAAGATGTTGTCTTATGTACACACATGTTGAGTGAGACACAAAGAAGTGATCTTTTAGAAGAATATATATATATATATATATATATATATATATATATATATATAATTATTCAGGAAAAAAATGCATATATGTAATTATATATATATATATAGAGAGAGAGAAAGAGAGAGTTTGTGTTTAAAATTGGAATTACGTGTTTTATACATAGTTGGGAATTATGGCAATTGTATTCTTTTAGATCTACCGGTGTAAATAAGACTATGCATAGTGGGTGTGTGAGTTTATTGCCAAGGTAAAAGAAAAAAAAAAAAAAAACAAGACTAGTTGCATAGGATTTTATTATTATTATTTTTATACTATTCCCATAAAATAAATAATTTTGTGGGTGGAAATAGTTTGGAGATCTCTTAACTTGATGACTAAACCACACCAAGAATTCATGAAGCATCAACTTTCCCATGGAATTTGAGCCCCCACCAGTAAAGGTGGATATGCACTTGTGAAGTTAATCCAGTTCCTCTCCCTCTAATAAAATAGTACTACATAATTCAAAAGAATGTATGATTAATTGGTAGTGCTAATGTGACTGATGCTTCTGCTTTTATTCCTCACCAATGATAGGGATGGAAAAATGTGGTTTCATTATAACTTTTGGTAAATTTGATATTTGGTATTAATGCTAATCTCAATCCTGCTTGTGTACCTGAATTCCTTTTGTTCATGAAGATTCTAGCTTGCACATGATTTATTCCTATGCCATATTCTTTTAATTTAATAGCGAACTTAAATATTTTGCAGGATGCAATGAAAGAAAAGGCTGCACAGAATTCTCAAAATTCTGATGGTACGAGTCCAACCATAAATGATGTTGAGATAGTACAAAACCAACTAGGCATAAGGAAGGGATATTGCCGTGGATTCGGACATGGTTTCATGGCTCCAAAGCGTCAGCGTGCCCTTCATCATGTGATGAGGCTTCTAGGAAAAGGGCCAAAATTGCTGAAGAAAGAAATGTACAAATGGCGGAAAAGATGGAAAAACTTAAGAAGATGCTTGAGCAGTACCAACAACAGTCGCCACCATGGTTCCTCCAATATCAGCAGTAGCAGCAGCAGCAGCCGCCACCATGGTTCCTCCAATTTTAGCAGCAGCAGCAGCAGTCGCCACCATGGTTCTACCAACAACAGTCTCCATCAGATTCCCAATAGCAGCAAACCGCACCAAACTAGCATCAGCTGCCACTGCCACTTCCAACAGACTCTCATTTTCAGCAGCCGCCACCAACAACAAGATGGCAATATCAGCAGCCGCCACCAACATGGTCGCACCAGCAAGCACCACCACAACCACCAAAAGAATGAATAATGGATCTTAAAGAGGATGGAACAATTTTTTGTGTTACCACATGGTTTTAGTTTTTGTTTAGAAAATTGGAGATTTTATATTTTGTGGATCTTGAATATATATATTGTGGATTGATTTTGTTTTATGGATAGTAATATCTTTTTGAATGTTATTGTGGATCTATTTTGTTTATGTTTTGTATATATCCGGAATGGTTAAAACCACAAATTAAGTATACAATATATATATATATATATATATATATATATATATATATATATATATATTAATGTATTAGAGACAGTCTACCCGTCCCTAATACAATAATTATAATTTACAAATAATGTATTAGGGACGGTCTAACATAATAATTATAATTAAAAATAATGTATTAGGGACGGTCTGACCGTCCCTAATACAATAATATATTAAAATATATAATTATAAATAATGTATTAGGGATGGTCAGACCGTCCCTAATACAATAATTATAATTTAAAAATATGTATTAGGGACGGTCTATCCGTCCCTAATACTGTAGATAGACCGCTCCTAATACAATAATTATAATTTATAAATAATTTATTAGGGACGGTGTGTTCATCCTTAATACTGTAAATAGACCGTCCCTAATACTCTAGGTATTGGGGACAGTCCTTAAAACTGTCCCTAATTCATACCTTATTAGTTAAGTCTAGACCGTCCCTAAAAAGTTTTAAGGATGGTATTATTTGGGACAGTTCGGACTGTCCCTAAAGGTCAAAAGTATTTGTCACGGTCAACTTTGACCGTCCCTAAAGCTCTTTTGGCACGCTACTTTTAGTGATGCACCAATTTGACTTTTAGGGACGGATTTGGGGCTTTTAGGGATAGTTTCGACTGTCCCTAAAACCCGAATTTCTTGTAGTGTCTTTCTTCGATCTAGAGGTCTGGGAAAGTGGGTATGGGATAATAGTTTCTAGAAGAAGGTAGTTCTAAAGCATTAAATTCCTGGTCCTGAAAGATTTCAGTAATTTCATCAATTTCAGTGCCAGTACCAATTTCTTGGTCTAGAGTATTGATATTTCTGGTGAGTCATTCTGGTGTATCAGGAATTGTAGCCGTGGAAGCCATAAGTGATTTGATTTATTTAATTTTGTTCTGTGCTTCTTCAATGGCACTATGCCTGGATAATTGTTTAGATAAATGTAGGGGAATTTCATGTGGTATGAAAGGGGGAGCATTATTTAACTGAATTGGGATTATTTGATCTTTTTGAAGCAAGGTTTCAACACGAGAAAGCTGAGCGCCAAGTGTCTGGAGATGCTGGTTTGTGTAATTATTTTGTTCCATGATGCTTCAAACATCACGGGTTGTGGATGGAGTATTGTCGGTGGCTACTGCTTTTATTTTAAAAGGAGAAGCACTAAGTGTGATGGTTCCTGCAACCTTCGTCTTGAATTCGATTGCTTCAGCTGAGGGGTGGATGGCTTCAATGGCTTCACCTCGGGAAGTTTTCCATGTGGTTGTGGATTTGGATATGACATTTAAGGATTTGATTGTTGAGAAATGAAAATCAATGTCATTGTCAAGACAATATTTTTCAAACCACGTAAAGAAAGGGGCTGAAAACTTGTGGTGTAGACAAAAAACATGTCACTCTTCTCTAATCTCAATGGTTTGTTGAGCAGCAAAGGTTCTGGAATAGCATTGTTTCTTGGAGTTATTGATGTTAGAGTAGAAGTCTTTACGTAGGAATTCTTTATCCATCTCATAAACCTTTTGGATTACGTAGAGTTGATGGATCTGGTGGTCTGGATCTTCAAACTAAAAATGGTTTAGGGATGGAGGAGAGTCTTGTGGATCTTGGTTTTGAGGAGTGTTTTTGGTAGTCAAAGGATTGCGTTGAAGAGGAGGGAAAGAAGCTTGAGAAAAAGACGATCTAGGTGGTTCTATTTCTCGAATAGAAAGTCTAATGAGCCTATTAGAATTAAATCTAACTTTTACCGTTCCAACGAAAAATTGAGATATTTGTTCCAGCCTTTTATTCTCAATCTTTGAAGGAGGAACTGCATGCTCAAGAGTCCATTCTTCTAGTGACTTCATTCCAAGTGATGGTTCTTCGAACATAAGTGTGTGAATTTTCATCACTAGCATGGAGAATGAGGGTTTTGCCTTTGGGAGATTAACGAAGAGCATGGAGGCTAATCTGAGTAGTATAAACTTTGTAATGGACTCTATAAAAAACATTGAAAGGTATGGCTCCATCCATTATTTCATAACCACTACTTGAGACATTGAGGGTTAAAGTATAGAGGATTGTTGGGTTATCAAGAGCTACGAAGTAATTTGGAAAACAATTGAAGTATTGTGGGCTATTAAAAATGCTAGTTTGGCAAACTCCTAACAAAGATGTTTCAAAATTAAGATGCCTACAGTCTCTAAGAGTAAGCATGATAGCAGTGTTAAGTCCTTTTGAGGTAAGAGGTTTGACTGCAATTTGGATAAGCCTTATATGTAGGAAATTGTATTTCTTCTTGTGTTCAACTATGCCTCTTTTTTGCAAAAGTTGGATGACTTCAAAAGGGTTTTTGAGAGAAATGGTTTGATCTACAGTTTTGATGGAGTATCCTATTTTGAGGTTGAAAGTCGAGGATTTGTAAATATCCCTAATAGGAACCTTGGGTATATTCCAAGTATCCTATTGATCATTCTAACCGCTATCAATATGCTGTTCTTCTTGGTTAACTATCACTCTTCCTCCTAGAGGAGCTAACGAAGTCGAAGACATGCTTCTGCTGAAAAAAACTCGTTGAACCTTACCTAAATGACCGTCCGTCCGACCAACCCTAAGTGGCACACCTAGCCTAAACTGGATCCAAGTCCGGAAACAGAAAATTAAGAAGGTTAAATGGGTTGAATCACAACACATGGCTCTGATACCATAAACACTATATATATAGAGAGAGAGAAAGAGAGTTGTTCGAAATACAATAAGAAAGTTGTTCGAAATACAATAAGAAAATACATAAATGGTTTTTGTATTAAAAGAAAAATAATTACAGGCGCACAGAGGGTATACCCTCAGAAAGAATTGAAAAAGGAAAAGAACCTAATTCAGGAAAGAAAAAGAGTAAAAAATAATACAAACTAATTAATGTCTCTAAGAGAGACATTAAAAATATCAAGAACTTCCAACAAGAGACATTAAAAATATCAAGAACTTCCAACAAAATTTGTCTAGCCACCTCAGAGGAAGAACTAGTACTATGTCCATATAGTCTAGAATTTCTCTCTTTCCAAATACTCTAAAATCCAGCAACTAAAAGAGTATGTAACATTTTACTACTCTGCTGTAAAAACCAAATCAGTAACTCTTTAACTGAGTGAATTAAATTGAAATCGATCATCAGTCCAAGAGTAACTTACAACCAATTCTAGAAATTCCTTGCAAAAGGACATTGAACAAACACATGGTTTCTAGTATCAATCTCTTGAAGACAAATAGAGCAATGTGGAGCTAGCAGCACTTTTCTTCGCTGTAGATTATACATTGAAGGGAGTCTATCTTGAAAAAGAAAAACTCCATGAACTGACCAGCGTGGCCTAGCTTTACCCTAGTAAACTGTGGACCAAGTTACCTCTAGAATAACCTCCTTGCAACATTTCCAAGCATTTTTGAATGTAAAAGTATCTCCATTCCAAAGAAAACTGTATGATCTAGCAAGAAGTGGCAGAGTACATGGATATTCCCTAATAGGTTTGAAAATTTCTCATTGTAAAATATCAAAATTCCAACCTCCATTACTTATAAGACAAGATGGAGGAGAGGTGATGAGCACTGAAAAGTGCGTATTTAAACCCCTTAAGCTTAGGCATTCTAGTACCTTCATCTATCTTACTCTACCGTTTTAGATTGATTTCATATTATTTCCTTTTTCAAGCACTTATCCTGAAAATAAGCTAACTCTGCCAAATAAGAGCTTAATTGAAGCAATTCTAGGATTAAACAAAGGAAGGAGCAAAGTGGAGAAAGAGGGAAGCAAATGAAGCCAAAGGTGGGAAGCAGCAAAGTTCGATCGATCCAAGTTCAAGGTTCGATCGATTGAACAATGATCGATCTCAGTACTTCAAGATAGATCCAAGCCTTGACCCAAAAGCATAAAGTTCCAAAAGTTTGATCGATCCAACACCATCCTTCGATTGATCGAACACTTTTGTCCTTATTCAAATGATTGATCCTATCCACAGCTGTACCACCCACTAACCACTTTTGTCCTTTTCCCATAAATATCTCCCAAAAATATCTCGGATTTGTCTTTTTCCAAAAAGCTCAGACAGTTCGATCAATCCAAGTTCAAGGTTCGATCGATAGAACTTCCTCTAGTGCGAAAAAGTTAAAATTCCACCTCATTGAAAGTTGTCCTTTATCCAATCATTAGGGAATATTGTGTGCACGACCCTAGTTCATTTTAGGTGTCATTTTGACCTACCTATATAAGGATAAGGATTGCTTTTTACAAAGGAGAGCCAACATTTTTTTCATACCATCTCTTGGAAAGCAAGCTTAGAGGAGGAGGAGGCTAGAGACACCATTGGAGTTCTTCATCAACAAGGAGCAGATTTCAACCATGGAGTTAGCCCTTGAGGGTTGGAGCATCATCACCATGAGTGGTTAGACATCCTCTTGGGGCTAGAGTTAGCCCCAAGCATGCTTTCTAC